AAATACAACCAAGTGCTGGGTAAAATAGGGACAAACCCAGCAATTAGGTTGTATTTAACCCAGCATTTTTTGTGTAATACACAAAAACACAGCCTACCAGAAAATGAGCTCAAATGAGGACACTGTAAAGAAAATGTTGTCGTTCTGCTGGATAAGTCAAGTCAAGTTTATTTGTACAGCGCTTTTCACGATACAAATCATTGCAAAGCAACTTTACAGCAAATTAAGTTTCTACAATATTTAGTGGTAGCTTATCAGTAGTGACTGTCAGTTAATGTACATATGGCAGAAATGTACGGAAAAATAAATTTAAGACATAATAAAACAGACGATGAACACTATTAACAAACACAGATAAATGTGCAAGCATCATGAATATGCTATAAGTTATATAAGGAGTAAGGAAAAGTCAGTAAGGAAAGAAATTACCATTTTAAAATAGTGACTAAATTAATCCATTTTACATGATTTTTAGTTGGAGTATGGTTGGATAAAAAAAGGTTTGTTATATCTGGTAAAAATTGCAATAATTTTTTAAAACAAAGTTCAATAGCCCTTTTGATGAGTTAAGGAGGCTAACTAGTTAGTGATGAAGTGAAGATTTTTTGAGTGTTGTTAAGGATGCCTGCCATTCAAATGAAATCTTTCTGTAAACTGGCCAGACAAAAGCTTTATTTTTAATTTATTTGCTCATACATCGAACCATGCACCTAAAGATGCTTTATTTTCTCTATAAGGCAAGCAATATAAATTGCTGAGTGTACCCTTCTGTTACAGGACGAGCGTAACCAGATTCTGTCGGCGTATTTATGGATACGGCAAGTCTGGATTGACAAGTATCTCACCTGGGATAAGGATAACTATGACGGGCTTGATACCATCCGTATACCTGGTAGTTATGTATGGAGACCCGATATAGTCCTATATAACAGGTCAGATTGGTATTGAGATTGCCATTTTTGTTTGCTCTTTCTTTTTTCCCCACATGGAGGCACAAGCTCAACACTTAATTAAAGCATTTATGATTGAGTGTTCAGAGAAGCATATGCTCCTGTTTTTTTAAGGCTCTAAGTAATATTGTTAGGCAATTATTTTACTTCAAATTAAAAAAGTGAAACAGAAAGGTTCTTCAGATGTTAAAGGTTCTTTATGGAACCATTTAGACAAAAAGGTTCTTCTATGGCATCGTGAAGCACCTTTATTTTTAAGAGTGTAGCTGCCCCTGCATTGAATTTAGAGGATATTGTACACCTCTTATTGGAATATATTAGTAAAAATTGTATTAGTCTTGGCTTCAAACAGACTACCACGCTATCATTTGAATAAATTTGTCCATGTTAGTCTTTTATCGTGGCATCTATTTCAATTAAATCCACCCGAACGACATCTAAGAACGAAATAGTTTTTGTCATGTCAGTTATGTACTGTACACCCTCTACATAGATAGTGAAAACCCATCAAAGGAATAGTTCACTCAAAAATGAAAATACTCAGTATTTACTCATGAACAAACCCAAATTTAAATCATTTTTCACTGAATTGTTAACTGCTATGACCAGATCAGGAAGTCATTAAGTTAGATTCAATTAGACAAATTAATGAATTAACCTGTCAGACCAGTTCAGTGACTTGAATCAAATCAGTCTTTAAGCAAATGTTAATCTTGTGCCTTCAGATTCTTTCTCAACCACTTTCTTTGCCGTTTTAGGGGAACCTAATGACTCTACAGTGGCTATAAAAATAAAAAACACACTCCTGTTAAAATTGCAGCTTTTTGAGGAGTAAAAATTAATCCAAGTAAAATCACGCTAGATGTTGTTTGGGGGAAACAGAAAAACTGTGGGTCTTCATGAAAAATCTGAAGATGAAGGCATCTTTCAGCACAATAATGACCTCAAACACAAATCGAAGTCAACGATGGAATGGCTTCAGAAGAAGAAGGTTTTAAAATGTCCAGTGACCAGTCAAATTCCAGACTTAAATTTTATTGAAAGAAACCTGTCAAATGACTTGAAGAGGACTGTATACATAAGATCCCCCTGAAATATGATCAATCTGCTGATCTTTTGCACGGAAGCGTGGAAAACATTGACTAATCAAGATGGGCTAAGCTGATAGAATCTTAATCAAAAAGACTGAGTGCTTTAGTTGAGAGGTATGTACACTTTTTCTACCAGGTTAAATTTCTATTCTTCATTTTAATTTGTTTGTTTCTTGAATTTTGAGTCTTTTTACTTAGATTAATTAGATTAATCTTACAAAGCTGAAATTGTTAACAGGGGTGTGGACTTTTTATGCCCACTGTAAAATGACCCTAATTACTCTACCGTTTACTGTAGAATATTCTATGTCTTGCAGCGCTGATGATCACTTCACCAGCACTATGGACACCAACGTCGTTATCCGTCATGATGGCCAGATCATGTGGGATGCTCCAGCCATCACCAAAAGCTCCTGTAAAGTTGACGTCTCGTTCTTCCCCTTTGACGCCCAGCAGTGTCGTCTGACCTACGGGTCATGGACCTACAACGGCAACCAGCTTGACATTCTGAACGCCATGGAGAGCGCAGATCTCGCAGACTTGGTGGACAACGTGGAATGGGAGGTGCTGGGAATGCCGGCCAAGAGAAATGTCATTCTGTACGGCTGTTGTGCAGACCCTTATCCGGACGTGACGTACACTCTGAAACTGAAGAGAAGGGCTTCGTTTTATGTGTTCAACTTGCTCATTCCCTGTGTGATGATCTCTTTCTTGGCTCCGCTGGGCTTCTATCTACCTGCAGACTCTGGAGAGAAGGTGTCACTGGGGGTCACTGTGATGTTAGCACTCACCGTGTTTCAGCTGTTGGTAGCTGAGATCATGCCTCCCTCAGAGAATGTACCTCTTATAGGTGAATCATTTAGATATGATTAAAGTTTATGTAAATACAAAGCTTTAATATAAAGTCAGCCATAAGGTAAACTTTATAGCATAAATAGTAAGCATATGTTATTCAAAAATCAGCCTGGGCATTTTAGATCTTTTTTTATTTATTTAGCTAACTATTCAGTTTTGTGTCACTTTTGTGTCTCTTATGTAGATCCGAAATCGCCCCCTATACCCTCATTCACTATTCTCTACATTAGGCCACTAATACAGTTCACTTGAAGGAGTAAATGAAA